AAGTTGGGTACAAAGCTCCAGTTCAACTCCACAACAAACCCACATACATATAAACATTCAGCGGCGATTACTTGCAATTTGAGAAATCAGGTGTTTCATGGAAAAGAGCATCAAACAATGAGACTTGGTGCTTTATTAGTTTGGGTTTTCTTACAATCAGTGTACTAGTTAATTAACTAGTTACAACCCATTTGAGATTATATACGAGAGGAATTCTCTCACACCTTTGAATTTAATGCTGATATTGTAGGCTATTGAGCTTAGCACAGTGCAAAGGTTAGAGCCAGGGAGATTCAAATTTTTTATGATCAGTAAGTGGAAAACTAAGTATTATAAATAGGCTAATAAATCCAAAAAAGCTATGATCTTCAAAGAACGTAATATGGTGTGGATCATGTTGAAGATGTAAAAGATTTCATGTAGAGCCATTTGGAAAGCTCAAGCCTAGAGCTAACAGTCCATTCGGGATTGCTAAGAAAGTAAATTTCAATGCATACAAGATTGATCTATAATGTTGTTGACTTTTCCCTGTGTTATGAGGATCTAGAATCTTTCAGAGAAGATATGACATAAGAGTGTACCTGCCCAACATGATGCACAAGTGAGACTGGATTTTCCCGTCTTGAGAAACTTGTAGTGGGAAATTTCTTGCTACTTTGCTTTTACGGGTCTTGTGGGGCTTATTTTCCTTCATTTTTTAGTTAGAATTTGGGTTTTATTGATGCCTCAGTCTTTTTTGGAGACCTCATCTTTGGTTTTTGTTATTTGGAGACTTTGTTTATTTATTCTCTTATTTGTAGAGTTTTAGCATATTTTTTTCATGTGATGAATCTCTATCTTGAGGATAACGTGTGATGAATCTTCTCTTGGCAGCAACACCCCGTCGAAGTCATTGTTTCTTCTTCCTTCCCGTTGTTTTCAGCCTTGACAGCCACCAAACTCCTTTAATCCCCATCAAAATCCTGCTGACTTCACATCATTTTTTCTCTTGCTATCATACAGCCTTTTCCCACAAAATCCAATTCTTAAACAAGGAATTCTAAAACGGCGCCAAACTTGTTCTAAGATAATTAGATTTCACAATTTATTTTCAAAAACAATATGGCAGTAATACTCGTTAAACAAAATTATATTGTATTATTTTACTGTAAATGTTTGAGATTTAAGCAAATTGCATGCAATTCTATAAGATTTTGGGGAAGTCACTTTAATTTGTGTAAAATTTACATGTCTTGTTATAGGGTTTAGAGTTTAGGTATTCAATAGATACAATATTTTTAAAAACCATTATATTATTCCCACATATTTTATGAGCTGTGTCGGGAATCAGACTTGTGAGGACGTGCTAAAATTAATTGATTTAGTGAGGGTTGGATCGATTCTTTTGGTAATTTTGCACACCCCATTCACCAAGATCTATAAGATTTAACCAGTTTTCATGTAGATTCATATATTTCTTTTCATTCTTCATTTTGTCCTCACATAGAAGATCCTATAATGAAGATTAATGGATTAACAAATTTATTAATTGAGAGAAAAATGAGGCCTTTTTTTTTTAATTTTCTCGTAAAGACCTTATATGAACTTCTTTGATGCCATTTTCCTCCTTCCATAGCACTCTCCATTCCTTCTACCTCCTTCAAAATGTCTCTCATTTCTCTCTCCTTTTTGACTATATTCTGAATGATGATCTTGTCCACCTTGCCAACTATCGCCAAACTTTCCATTTTCTTTAATTATTCCACATTAAGTTTGTCATTGACCTATTTTTTGGTGATCACATGTGCTCCTCTCTTAAACTAGCACCGTTCTCTTTACTCCTAATGTCAGGCAGGGTTATAAATTGCACTTTCTAGTCTCTCCCTGTTGGATTTCACTCATAATAAGGATATCATCTCTATTGCATGGCCACCACCATCATCACAATCCAGTCACCTCACAACCCATGACTTCTTTATATGTTCTCTGCTTCTCCCTTTTGCATGCTTCTAGTTCCTCCAAAGTATTAATGATCTCAATGCTGATGACATCCCCTCTCTTTTCTCATACTTTGATCACATCTGGTGCACAAAATCACCTCTGGTGCACACTATTCTTAAACTGACAAAAATGCTGGGGAAGCTTCACCTCTTGTCCTAATCCTCCTTAACCTTTAAGCAATAAGATAGGGGAAGAACCTTAATACTGGAACGAGAGAGGCTAAGATAAAGATTTGCATTTCATCTTTATGGCTAATACGTATTTATGAATGAGGGCAGTGTGATAACAAATTTTTATCTTTCATTTTAAAGTAAAAAAAAAAAAAAAACGTGAGCTAAATTAATGAAAAATTTAATGTTATTAGCTAAGGACCTCTGTAGAGATTGATATATAATCTCATAGAATAATTTATAAATTAGAAAATGTATAACAACCAAAATGGTGGATTTAAAAAAAAATCGAACCTTCATGAAATGCAATATAAACCTTTTGGAACTCGCCTAATATATGGCTTCTTATAAAAAAATACATTTATTAAAATTCAATATATGATGAAGTGTCATTTTATTTTGGTAGGATGAGAGTATGTATGTAGGGTATGTAATTTTACGTATATTTATGAGGCTGTCACCTTGTAGTTGAGATATGGTGGCTAATAGTGATGATATATGATGGTCATGACAATTGTTCTGGTTGGGTGGGGGTGGGGTGATTGGGTTGGGCTTTGCACATTTTTTTTGTGTTCTTGTGTGAGCCTTCACACTAAAGCATTTAATATAGGCTATTTAATACTTTAAAGGAATGCTTACCTTTTAAACATAGGCTACATCGAAGTTGTAATTATTTAAAAAATATAAAGTTAAAGAGCATAAGTTGTTATTATGCTATTATGGGGATCCAAATATTTGAGCCTCATCTCTCATAGAAGGTTTTGTTAGTTTGAATCAAATTTTTTAGAAGATAATTTAACTTTTAGATAAGACTCTTATTAGAGATTGTCTTCATTTTGCGAGGCCTTTATGATTTGGTTTTAGGTTTCCCATAGGCAAGTCTATAATTAGTCAGCCCTCCCGATAATAGGAGAGAACTTTCATTGAAGGCTTGCCAGTAGGTGTTGTATATTAGGGTTTAGTAGTAGCAATTTCTATGTTAAGTTGGGAAAATTTGTCGTCTTTTGCTTAGAGAGGATGGTAGGGGAGATTATTGACAAACTCAATTAATGTCTCATGATTTTATTATATCGGGATGTCATGGATCTTTGTCTACTTAGAGGAGGCGGTTGAGCAAACTTGTCCGAAGAATCCTTTTCAATACTCATGGGTTGTATGATATGAGGAAACCTTATTGACATGTGTTAATGTTTATCTAAGGCAATGGGCTTTGTTTCTTATCAAGTGAACCTTAATAACTCAATGGGGCTGAACTATTAGGGAACAACTAGGCTTTAATCATGATTGTAATATAATATTTTTATTTAAGGGCAAATCATTCGTTTAGAAGGTTCTAATTGTAATTGCTTTTTTTTAGTGTCATGCATTGATTAAATGGCATTGTTAGAGGATATGAGCCAAGCTCTTCCCGGTATCAAATCTTTTGAATGTGACCATATAGGTTGTTATCACCCTAGACAAATTGTTACATATGGTGGATAAATTTTGCTTCTTAGCTTCAAATGTTAGATTACTCTTGAATATTTTTGAACTTCTATTATTTGTAGTGGAATTTTTTATATTTTTTCTAGATTTGGGTGCAAGGAGATTTGCATTGAGGTTTAGGCTGTTTTTAAAATAGAATTCCTTCGGTGGAGATTTGTGTTCAGATACTCATTATTTTGGGGGGGTTGGGTCTTTGATTGACTGTTTTGAACCTTATTGATTTTGTGTAGTACTTGTAAAAGATTGAGTTCATAGGATATGGGCCAAGCTCTTCCCGGTATCACATCATTATTATGTTGCTTGAAAGGTTCAGGGCTAATTGGTGTTAGATAACATGCTCTTTAGTGAACGTTTTTCAAACCACCTATTGCTTCTTTTTAAAAGAATCAGTTTAGAGACTACTGAAAGAAGTGAAAAAGCCTTTTTCTTCTTTTTGAAAGAAGTGAAGAAATTTATCATTCAGTGAATGAATATACTATGGCTACATATATCAGTCAATATCTTGTTTGTCTGCTGCCTTAGTTTGTGCAAGATAGCCTTAGCATCAGACCGGCAAAAAGTTTCTCAACACGCTCCACATATCTTTTAGCGAACAGGTGTTTGCTTTCTGTTGTTAGAAGAAATGCAGTGGAACTATTGCTCGATGGTGATTGTAATGAATACTCGGTCCAAGGAAAAGAGAAGAGAAAGAAACGGTAAACATCCCCAAAGGATGCAGAGAGAGGACGGAAACAAAATTTAAGCAACAGTGCATGTGTTCATTATCCTTCACGTGATCCATATGTTCCTAAGACATTTTTTATATAGGAAAGAGTTGCATCACTTAAATACTATACATAATGTGGGACTGAAAGATGTGTGATATAAGAGTAAATGGCATTAACATAGGGGGACATATGACTCAAAACATGAACTCACATAAGTTGGCACCTCAATATTCTGTGTCACTAATTCTTGTATTATTATTATTATTATTATTATTATTATTTAATTTTTGGGATAACTACATACAAACCACTTGAAACATTGATATTTTCAAATTAACCACCCAGGTGATTTTTTTGAGCTACCACACTGATGTATTTACACGTGTCACGATCAAACTATTGAGAATTTGATAAAAATGAAAAATATTGGTTGGGATTTTACCATAAATTTTGATTTGAGTGAGAATTTGAAAAATGGATGAAAGAGGGTGGGCGAATTTTAAATAAGAAGTTTCGGGTGGTCTCCATGTAATTGCCCCTTTATTTTTTTGCTCTTGTATTAATTTGGCTCTTTGTTGACTGCTGATGTTCATGACCGTGCAGAGGTCTTCATATGAAGGTAAAATCTAATTATAGTTGTGTTTGACCCTTGTTACAGCTGGTTATGTGGTGGTGCCACTGGACGTGATCACACTTGGTCAACTATTACTGGTCATAGCTGTGGACGTTTCAAAGAAGACAAGACAAAACTAATAGAATGTGCAAGGCGTGATTTATATAGGTACATGCATTATCACAATCGATACAAGGCCCACACAGATTCTCTTAAACAGGAAAGCAATTTGAAGGAAACCATTCAAGGCAAAATAGCTATATCTGAGAATAAGGAATCTAGAATTAAAGATTACAGTTGGGTAATCAATGGTTTGAACCGTCTCTTCAGATCAAGGCGCGTTCTATCGTATTCTTATCCATTTGCTTTTTATATGTTTGGAGATGAACTCTTCAAGGATGAGATGACTTCACAGGAGAGGGACTTGAAGCAGAACTTGTTTGAGGACCAGCAACAACAACTAGAATCAAATGTAGAAAAACTATCTATGTTTTTAGAGAAGGACTTTCAAGATTTTTCGGATGAAGAGGTTATGGAGAATATGAAGCATGTCATCAATCTGTCATCCGTTATAGATAGACTATGCAAGCAAATGTGAGCTAGTGTTGCTTTGCCTTGTGTGACTGTAGTTGGCTGATTGTCCGCTGATACAAGTTTTTCTTGCAGGTATCAATGCATAGAAAATGATTTGTTGTATCCCCTACAAAGGGCAACTCACAATATTGCCCCTTACAAATCAAAGGGCCCCGAGAAGGCTTCAGAACTCCCACAATGTTTGGCTTCTAACCAGGCAAGAAATACGAAGTCTAATAAGATGGATGTACTTCCTCACCATGTGCCGGCAGTTAGTGCGAGTGGTATGTTTTCTCTAAAGGACCAAACCTACTTGAATCTTGTTTTAACATAGAAAACCAAAATGATGTTCAAATTGCTAAGCCTATTTTCTGCCACCCTTTTGCTTGCTGACCATGTTTTTCCCTCCATCCACTCAAACAAGTGAGAATAAAATCTTTATTTCTTATATATATATATTATATATATATATAATCAAATAAATGAGCCATTATCAAAGCTGGCAACCGCCAAATGACTAATGCTGACAAGAATGTTGATGTTTGTGATATATAGGAACCACTCTGTCAGCGAAGCGAACTCGGCAGTTTCATGCGGCTTCAAGTTCGGATGAGACCGGCTCCTCTAGAAAGCGTAGCAAGAATGAGTCTATAGGAGCTGCACCTCTTTTTGATCTAAACATGCCTGCGGAGGTTGTCGACAAGATTTAAAAGAGTTGCATGGTCAAAGCTCTTCCAATCCGTTTTAAAATGTACAGCATTAATTGGGGCGTTTCTTAATGAAATATTATTATTTTTATCCTTTTTTTTTTTAAATTTTAGGGTTCAAGGATGAACATAAAGTTCTGTCGGGTACATCAAATAGGTAGAATAAGTAATGTTTAGTTAACTAATGTTGTCAAACTTGCCATACGCATTTGTATCTACATATATGAAAGTGAAGGCCATTTTGATTTCAACTCATTTAAGGCAATGAAGTGATATTTTGCAAACTTCAATCTTGGAAAGGTCAGCTGCCACACGCTGTTAGTAAATATATATATATATATAGTTTTCATGAAGATGCAATTAATTTGCTGGTACGAAGTTCATTGCATTTTTAATTGCCTCAAATCTTACAGCATAATGTGCTACCGCAAGCTTTTACTTGTTAGCGTTTTGATTTCGGCAAACAGATTTTCCATATATAAACCAATAAATCATTCAAGAGAGCCAAATATCCGTAGCCCCAGGAAAATTATTTTAGAAGCTTATTCTGAACTTTTTTTTTTTTTTTTTTTTGGTTAAATTGAGAATGCAATAACATAAAAGATTATAAAGGATTTGGCAACAGAATAATTTGGCTGGCCGCTAATTCAATATAGAAAAATCATTAACCAAAAGAATGTCACTACATTTTAAAAGGAGCCTGCAAAAAGCAAACATGAGCTCCCCGAGGAATTTTTTCTTTGATAAGCATATAGAAAGCATCTTAAATCTCTGACAAAGAATAAAAAAATAAGAATTCACGAAGTGAAGCCGGAGCTCCTAGACAATCAATCAACTAGCTTCTATTTAGAGTGCATTGATGACGGACTAATATAGACGGCCTCGGCAAGGTGGAGCTTCGCAGTGGCAGCGCAGACCTTCACCCGGTAACAAGTTGTGGCGGTAATCATAAGCTAATTCTTCACCCACAGCAATCTATGCAACAAAGACGAATCATATTATTAGCAACATTTTAACTTTTCAGCTCGCAGCAGCTTTGTATGTGCAGGACGAATATTACGTACATCACGCTTTGCAAAGAGACCAATGTGAGCTAGCTGACAATCCATGCTCTCCACCAGTACCAGATAATTTACAAGATTGGGGGAACAACTATCCATCAATTCGAGCAAGTTAGATGAAATGAAAGAAATTAATAGCAGGGGCTTTTAAAATAGGGTTTCTTACGTTATCCATATGCCTAATCCCATATGCATTACCTGTGGTTTATAAACCTTGATACATTCCCATATCTGGTAGCATTAATCAAGCAAGGTACCGTCCCTTCACTCAAACCACTTGCAGAATCCATATGCGCATTGATGTCATACAGGTAGCTGCACTCAAAGCTATCACACCAGAAATATTTTGTTACAGGTCATCAGTCACCCGTGATAGAAGATAAAAATCACACCATAAAAGCTAGGCCATGATACCTTTGGCCTCTTTTATGCATTCCTGATGTGGTAAGAACTCCAATGTATTCACACACAAATGTGCCACGTGATATGACTTCCCCAGCCCTGACTCCCCAACCCTGTCCATCCCACAACAAGTTATTTCAGGATTCAAGTAAATCTCTGGGGATATGAAATCTGATTACCTTTTTGGCTGTTCTAAAAATTTCCAGCTTTACTTGAATTCCTCTCTGTAAAACCCTATTCTTACATGTCATATCACAGCTGCACATGGAGTTGCACTCATAAACAAGGTAGCCTTCCTGCAAAATTTACAAAAACATAAAAAGATAGCTGAAAAAAGGGTAAATTTGCACTTTTTTATATCATGGCCCATTATAGATGGAGAATGCTGAGAGCATTTCTGAGTGCTAATAAAACTTTGGCTAAATGGTCTGTCTCCCAAAGGAAATAGACAAAATTGCCTTGAGAAAAACCGCATATCAGCTCTCCTGGCTGTCAGCATCACAAGTAAAAACTTGAACGGATTAACAATAAAATCGTGATGCTTGTAATCTATTGAGGTACAAGTTAATTAATATTAATGAAAGATAAAAATTAAAATGATAAGCAAGACTTACGCACCAAAATCATGCCAGGGAGGTGAACCTAGCATGCAACATGGCCACTCCAACCAAATGGCTTCATGTGTTGGAGATCATTGAGGAATTGGGTCCAATAATTACAATGCCCCTCCAAGCTGAAGTTGGAATGACATCTTGGACCAAATGGCTTACTCGCAGTTACAATCACATGATTGACCGAAGCGCGAGACTCTTGCTAAATATAACTGCATTAGTTGGCAAGGTTGTGGGAACAATGATGGCAGCCATTTCTTTTTGAGACGTTAACCTTTAAACTCAAGTACCCAAGAAGCAGACACCAAATTCAAAGTTTGTCCTAGTAGACGCTAACCTTTCCGACATCTTAGAAGTTGTTCATGTCGCTTATAGTCTGCCTGATCACTTTCATTCTCTCTATACCTACACCATTTTTCTACTCTTGTGTTGGTAAACTTGCAATTGTCATGTACGCCGATTATTCATATTTTCCTATTACGTAGGTATTAGTTGTTTTTTTTCCTACTCTTCAGGTTCACTACATCAATCAATCTCCAATATTTTATCAATTCTTGGCAAACCAATATAAGTGGATGTTGCCAGAGTCTCCCAATTGTTTGTAACCCGTGTTATCTTATTTAAAGAAATGTTTTTGCCCTTTTGGCTAGGAATATTTGGATTGGCGTTTCTTCAGATGGTTATTGAGAAAGTGAAGTTTGGAGTTTACTAACATATTATGACCTGCAATATCTTTTGTCATGACTAGCTAATTTCTTCAAGACTCATCATGAAATGAAAAAATCCTCTAGCGACCCAACTGTTTAGGATAGTTCTATTAATCATGATATCGAAATGCAAGATTTACGTGGTAAATACTAACTGATCAAATTGAACCCAGTAACTTCCTCAAAAATGAAAGACGCTCCCAGTAACTTCCTGAAAAATGAAAGATGCTCCCATCAACCATGCCCCCCACCCAACGAGAATGTTCTCATACCTAAAAAAACTAATATAGAATATGGACCTTACCTAATTGTTTTTAATTTGGTGGATGTTAGTATCCCTCTACTCCCCCATCCTAATATTGTTAAGATACCCTTGTGAGATCTACTGGTATTGCAAGTCATGTTGGGCAAGCTCAGTCTCGTCCGATGCAATGTGAAGCACCAATGGCCTGATTCACGTCACAGTGGCTCAACAACTGTGAACGGAACACACGCTTCAACATTACAGTGGCTCGACAACTGTGCTTACAATCAAAATGAGCATAGCAGGTCCGCACGAGTTCGATGCCGTGAAACAACAGAACATGTTCAATTTCGGTGTAGCAAAACAGTAAATCGGGTCTCGAGTTTTTCATCACGAAACAATGTACGGGCCAAAGCAGGTGCGGTTAAATTTGCTGGTTTAACATTGAAAATAAAAGATTGCATGCATATATTGCCTAGCATTCAACAAGGACTTCATCTGTGCGAAGGAGCAGTCAGATGTTTGACGAATGAACAATTTGTGACATATGAATTGGACTTTAGCATGTCAAGGAGAGATGGAACAGTTGTGAATGATCTAAGGCGTTCAGATTGGACTTCACCGTGAAACGAAATAACTGATCACAATTTTTTTTCCCGTCCACTGAACCCATAGGAATCACAGCCGAGCTCTAGCCCATTAAGGCAAACTTCCTTCAGGCAACAGTAATGCTTGACCTCCTATTGTGCATATATATTTTTTAAGGTTATGTCATTTTTTATATTTTTATATTTTTATATTTTAAATTCAAGATAAATTATTCTTAAATATTTTAAATGATTATTAAATATTTTGAAATAAAATTATTTAAATAAGGGATCAATTTTAAAGATTTATTTTGATAAAATTTAATAAATATATTATTCATATGTGTTAGAGGCTCCGGATGCAAAAAATAGAGGGTTGAATTAAGTAGTCAACAACCAACACAAAAATTATGTCAAACAAATATGACAAATCCTCTAAATAATTGTGTCAACACTTAGGCGCCCACAAGATGTGATGCGCTGTATGGCCTATATAAGCGAAGAGTGCTAACGACACTGCACCAGAGCTAGAGTGTAGTGTTATAAGTGATTTAATGGCTTGGTTTGAGCTTTATTTGACTGAGATTGAACCAATTTTGGTATCATCGGGTTCGTCTTGTCAAACCAATCAGTTTGCCTGTAATATTGTTGAAACCGAAGCTCCGGATGACTCTTAATCAAAGTATGAACATTTCTTGCTCAAAAGATTGCCTTAAGATCTGTGTCATACCTCGAGATTCGTGCCGAAAGATGAGAATTTGTTGATGGCGTATCAATTGCCCCTCTATGTTCGGACGGGAACAACTTTGACGTCGGAAAGTATTAATATGTGGCGCACTTTACATATATATATAATTTCGTGGTTTACGGATAATAATTATCCAGAGCCTCCTTTCTTTCCTTTTTTTTAAACATAATGATTACATGGCATGAAAGTAAATGCTCTCATAATTACTGTTTCGCAAAATAAGGCTGTGGGATAGGATCGAATGATGGCAAAAGCGAATGAGAGGTAGAATTAGGAGTGTGGAACGATGACAGGGATCTCGAAAAGCCGAGCAGTGAGCAAGCAGAACGTTGGGAATGGCAGAAGTGGAGCCGTGGAACTGGGAAAACTAGCAGATGAATGAAAATTTTCAGTTTTTTTTTAAATAAGGAGCCTTTAGAGCTGGAATCTATTTGAGGCCTATAAATAGAGGCCAGAAGAAGAGGAAAAAAATCAGAAGTGGGAGGAGGACAAGAAGAATAGGGAGAAAAGTTCAGAAGAGGGAGGAGATTTTTCAAAGGAAGAAAATTATCCCCGAACTGCATAGCAGACGATCAACAAAATCTTCTTTCGTGTTACGGCGCAGAAGAAAGTCGTCCCCATTTTAAGTAGTATGCGATTAACGAGATCTATCATGTTCTGGTGCAGGATAAAGTTGATCTGTCCTGCGTAGCAGACGATCAACGAGATCTTCTTTGTGGTTGTGATGAAGAAGAAAATTGTCACTGCCATGCGTAGCAAGCAATCAACAAGATATTCTTCCTAGGTTGTCGAGATGAAGAAAGTTGTCCCCGTCCCTGCCCAGCAGGTGACCCGGGATCTTGTTGTGGTGATGAATAAAGTTATATCCGTCCCCGTTTAGCAGGTGACCCGTGATCTTCATTCTCGTTGATGTCGTGCATTCCAAGGGAGATTCATGTGTTGTTGCTGCATATTTCAAAAGTGATGAAGAAATGCTGGAGTTTTCTCGAACTTTTCAAATGAGATTTTCGTGTTTTTCTGATGACGATATCTGGAGAATCACGTCCCTTTGAAAATCAACAGAAGTACCAAAATTTTGAGAAGACAATCCACTACCATTTGAAGCTGAGCTGACCTCTTGTAGCATTTGTAACAGTGTTCGTTGGCCTTAATGGCATTTTAATCATTTGATGAGATATTTGTAGATGATAATGTATTTCTTTATATGTCTTTGACGTTGATTCTGAGGTGTGATTTTTTTGTTTTGGGATGCTTTTACCCCATTTATGGGGAGTTGTTACCCAACTTTTTGGGCTATCGTTGTCTCACTTCTGGGGTATTGTTGATGTCGACATCATTTGAAACTTATGCCTTCTGAGGTTCCGTGGCTTGTCAATCATGCGGAAGTTCGAAATTAAAGTTAACACGTGCATTTTATATAAAAAAGAATCGCATACCTTTTGATGCTCGTGCCTTCTAAAGTTGTGCCGTCCTAGGCTTATATATTATAGAGTCAGCCTTCTTAGATTTATGCTAAGCTTGAAAATAATTGATGATTTCTGAGGCTCGTAGTCTTCTGAGGTTTTTTATGTATATGTGCATTCTTAGACTTGTAGTCTTATGAGATTTTTAACATACCTGTGTCTTCTGAAACTTGTAGTCTTCTTAGGTCTTTGAGTGGAGACCCTGTAAACTATTTGTTCTCTTGAAGTCATTATAGTGAGAACCTTGTTCACTACGAGCTTCTCATCGAGACTTGTCTTTTGGGCTCGTCTTCTAGAGGCACCGTAGCTTCCCATCGAGTTACCTCTTGGGCTTGACTTCTAGGGGCATGGTAGCTTCCCATCGAGCTTGCCTTCTAGAAGTATCGTAGTTTCCCATCAAATATTGTCTCTTGGGTTTAATTTCTAGGGGCATGGTGACTTCCCATCCAGACTTGTCTCATGATAGCTTTCCATCGAGTCCTGCTTCTTGAGCTTGACTTCCAGAGGCATGGTAAATTCCCATCAAGGCTTGCCTCGAGGGCTTGTCTTTTAGAAGTGTCGTAACTTCACATCAAGCTTTGCCTCATGAGCTTGACTTCAAAGGCATGGTAGCTTCCCATCGAGACTTGCCTCCTGGGCTTGTCTTCCAGGAGCATCGTAACTTCCAATCGAGTTTTGCCTCTTGAGCTCGATTCTCAGAGGCATGGTAGCTTCTCATCGAAACATGCATCCTTGGCTTATCTTCTAGGAACACCGTAGCTTCCCATCAAGTTTTGTCTCTTGGGTTTAACTTTCAGGGGTATGGGTGGAGACCTGGTCTACCACTGCGAATGTTCAACTTTTCTCAAACTGTTAGTCGAAGAGCATTTGTCTGAGGGTTATAGCCTGTGTTGGAGCATGGTTGAAAAGAAAATCCATTAAGGATGTAAGGCCTGT